GCTTAAATTTCCCATTGGCACTGAAGGAGGAAAGTTAACTCTCCCTTGTTGCCTCATCTCTACCATCCTCATAAAGCTCTTCCCTCAGACACTTAGGTAGAGTGGGTACCCCACTTTCTCGAACCTGATTTGTAGTCACCAAGCTCTGAGAGGTCTCCTTGCTCTTTCTATTCTCTAAGGATTTCTTACCTTCTTTCTGTGCTGCTTTGGTGTGGGCTTGAAAGGTGCAGTTTCCCTGAAGCCAAAAGTTAATTGTATTCTTTGGATAGGAAGTCTTGCTTGAAATAAGAAATTAGGAGTTCTCTGATTATATTCATTCATACTAAGTTGTTAAATTAAGCAACTATTATGTCAGACCCTGAGCTGTATATAGGGGACATGAATCCAAAGAGACTGATGGAGGAATAAATGACACCGCCTTAGTTTCTTGCACTCTCTGGCCATTGGAACTTTTACTACCTCAGTAGATGTTAAGACAATCTAAGAATGTTGGGTCTGGCTTGTTTTTCATTTTCTCATTTTCAGCAAACGAATAGAGCATCACGACAAATGTTTCAATGTTTCCTAATTTATTAGTGTTTCCTTATCTGCTAAATTTTTAAGGATACATCAGTGATTATTCCCTCCATTACTTCCAAGCAAACCCAATGACCAGAACTACTGCTGTCAGAGTACTGCAACAAACACTCTATTTACACCTGGATTTGTAAGGTAGACTTACTTTCTCCCACTGATTTATCCTAATGTTTTTTGTTTGTGTTTTTGCATCATTTTCTATCTTTATCTAGATACACCTGAATTGTACTATCGGTCATGGGCTTTACTACACTTTTGGAAATAGGTACAAGACTGTCAAGGTAATGACCTCTGCTTACTTTATTCATTTTTTTCTTTTGAGACAGAGTCTCATTCCATTGCTCAGGCTGGAGTGCAGTGGTACAATCTTAACTCACTGCACACTTTGCCTCCCAGGTTCAAGTGATTCTCAAGCCTCAGCCTCCTGAGTAGCTGAGACAAGAGATGCGCACCACCATGCCCCACTAAATTTTGTTTTTAGTAAAGATGGTGTTTCGCCATGTTGACCAGGCTGGTCTTGAACTCCTGGTCTCAAGTGATTTGTCCACATCAGCTTCCCAAAGTGCTGGGATTACAGGCAGGAGTCACCATACCTCGCCCTGCTTACATTCTTAATAAGAACTAAGAAACATGAGACACACATGTACACACACCAGTGATAAGTGTTATTAAAAGAAAACACGGCCGGGCGTGGTGGCTCACGCCTGTAATCCAAGCACTTTGGGAGTCCGAGGCAGGCGGATCACGAGGAAGAGATCGAGACCATCCTGGCCAACATGGTGAAACCCTGTCTCTACTAAAAATACAAAAAAATTAGCTGGGTGTGGTGGCGCACGCCTGTAGTCCCAACTACTCAGGAGGCTGAGGCAGGAGAATTGCTTGAACCTGGGAGGCGGAGGTTGCAGTGCCTGGTGACGAAATGAGACTCTGTCTCAAAAAAAAAAAAAAAAAGAAAAAACGCACAGAAGTAAGATTAAGTGTGGAGGTAGCTTTTGACAATATGATGAACTATGTAGACTGAAAAACTCCTTGCAAAAGATTACTACAGATGTACCATCTATTTAAAAAAGCCCTTTAAAACATATTAAGGCTTTGGAAGAATTAAAGAAAATCTTTTGAAGGAGGGACTGACATGAAAACATACTATAGCTGTTGGAAGCCCCAAGGGGCTTGGTTTCCTCAAGTTTTTTGTCATGAGAACTACACATCTGCAAGGAAAAAGAGAAAAGGTCTGAGGTCTACTTATAGCAAGTTTGTAGATAAAAATAAAAAACTAAAAAGCTAAAAAATGGTTATCCTTAGGGAAAGAAGGAAGCAGAAAAAGAAACCCATCCCACAGAGTAAGAGAAAAGTGAACAATATTTGCTTTCACACTGGTTCTAAGTGGAGGGAAAAGGTCTCCCTGGAGAATTGGTGGTCACAGGTAAGCCCTCACATGGGTTTAGAAACTGAGTACGCAGTATTTGCAAGGTCTGAAAAACTACAGGGCATGAATTTTAACTTAACATGAACTCATTGCTAATGTCTTCAAGGAATGGTAGAAAAAACTGCAAAAAAAAAAAAAAAGCAGAGACCAGCCGGCACCCCGGAGGCACAGAGCGTGGCACAGGCGGAGCGGGGAGGGCGTGAGAAAGCGGAGAGCGGGCAGCTGTGCAGGCGGCGGCGACACCACAGGCCAGGCCGAGCCGGCGCGGGAGGAGTCCCAGGGCGATGGGGCTGACGCTTTGACAGCTGGAAAGAGCGCTGAGCCAGCACCTGGTGCGGAGGGAGGGGAGCCCGGCAAGGAGAGCCCCAGCGAGCGAGAGAGCGAGTGAGCGAGCGCCGGGGAGGGGGCCGGGAGCGAGGGGCAGCTCGGGAGAGCCGGAGCGGCGTTGAGGCTGGGGTCCTCTTCCCGGCAAACCATGTTTGCCAAAGGCAAAGGCTCGGCGATGCCCTTGGATGGACGGGCAGGCTCAGGAAAAGTTAACTTTATACGTCTATGAATATTTACTGCACGTAGCAGCACAGAAATCTGCACAGACCTTCTTATCTGAGATTCGATGGGGAAAAAATTTTTCATCACGTTGGGAGAACCGCCTGGGTTTTTGCACTCGTGCTGGTGTGTATTTTGGGACCTTTACTGTGCAGCTCCTGAAAGGAGAGACACCTGTGAACATTCAAGTGAAGCAAAAGCCTTTCATGATTATAGTGCAGCAGCTGCCCCGAGCCCCGTGCCTGGCAACATTCCCCCCAATGATGGGATGCCGGGAGGCCCCATCCCGCCAGGTTTCTTTCAGGGTCCTCCAATATTTCTTTGTATTTTGGGGTTCTGGTGGCAACAGTTACAAATCTTGCTTCTTGATTAACGATGAGCACTTCTGTATGTGCCCTTAAAAACAAAAAACCTTCATTGTAGCGACATTGGCAACATTTTGTAATGCCTACTGGAGTCTCTGGACACTTATTTTGGCCATTAGTTGCCCCAGGACTTTTGATGAGTGATAGTTCCCCTTTTGGCCTCATGCTTTACCTTTTATATTTGTTATAAACAACAAATAACTGGATATCTACTGAGCTGTCTTGGAAAGAGGCTTTCATAGACCTCGAACCTGTGACCCTCGCACTCAGCTGCTCGTTATGCCCTGGGTCATGGAAACAGTACCCCGCAAGCTTGACACAGCTACCAAGGCCTACCTAAGACAGGATGAAACCAAACCTGGACTCTCTGGTATATGTCACCTGCAGGAGAGGTTGGCCTCCCTGGTCCTCAGTTTATTGACAGATGTCAGGGTGCTGGAGGAGGACACTTCCCTCCCAGACACCTTCAGTACCTGGGAAGTCCCTCGGGATTAACTGAGTAAACAATAATGGGAGTTTGACTATGTGAATGGCACTGCAACCATCATGCATGATGGAGCTTAATAGAATGTTTCTGTTTTCCATCCCTTAGCCAACGTGTCCTGAATAAAGGATGGGGCTCAAGGAACAACCCCCTTGGCCAAAACACCAGGCAGTAGTCATCTTAGCACTCATGCCCTAATCAACAAACAGCACCATCTTCTCATTTACTATAAACTATTAGGCCATTACCAAAAATTGTCATAAACTGATTGCCTCTCCTAAGGCATAAAATTGACACAATTTTTTCATTCTTCTTCCTAAACTCACTGACTCCTTAGCCCATAATCCTGGTATATTTCTAGCTCTCTGCTCAAAGGTATACCTCCATATGAAAGGGAACTCTGATAGGGGTTATTAAAATTAGTGAAGATTATTGCTTTCCCCAAGAGGTATCAGCCCCATGTTAGTCAACTGGTGACCTCTCTGGGGAAGAAAACCATCCTCTCCTTAGTGTCTTTTTCTACTACCACCCTCCAGACACCACAGTCTCCCACCCTGCCTCTCCAAACATCACCACCACAACAGCCTTTCCCCTTACAGTCAGTAGATCTCCACAACTTAACTCTGATTGCCTTGCCTTATTTTTAAATATGATGCTGAGACATCAAGGGGTGAATTGTAGTGAGTGCTTCTAATTTTATTTTGCCTTAACATCCATTTTAAAATATAAATTTTCTTTATCCAGTCTCTCATTGATGGGCATTTCGGTTGGCTCCAAGTCTTTGCTATTGTGAACAGTGCCGTAATAAACATATGTGTGTGTGTGTGTCTTTTTAATAGAATGATTTATAGTCCTTTAGGTATATACTCAGTAACGGGATTGCTGGGCCAAATGGTATTTCTATTTCTAGATCCTTGAGGAATCACCACACTGTCTTGCACAATGGTTGAACTAATTTACACTCCCACCAACAGTGTAAAAGCATTCCTCTTTCTCCACATCTTTTCCATCATCTGCTGTCTCCTGACTTTTTAATGATCGCCATTCTAACCGGCATGAGACAGTATCTCATTGTGGTTTTGATTTGCATTTCTCTAGTGATCAGTGATGATGAGCTTTTGTTCATATGTTTGTTGGCTACATAAATGTCTCCTTTTGAGAATTGTCTGTTCATATCCTTTGCCTACTTTTTGGTGGGGTGGGTTGGTTGTTTTCTTTTAAATTCGTTAAGTTCCTTGTAGATTCTGGATATTAATCCTTTGTCAGATGAGTAGATGCAAAAATTTTCTCCCATTCTGTAGGTTGTCTGTTGACTCTAATGATAGTTTCTTTTGCTGTGCAGAAGCTCTTTAGTTTAATTAGATCCCATTTGTCTATTTTGGCTTTTATTGCTATTGCTTTTGGTGTTTTAGTCATGAAGTCTTTGCTCATGCTGCACCCATTAACCCATCATCTAGGTTTTAAGCCTCACATGCATTAGGTAGGTATTTGTCCTAATGCTCTCCCTCCTCTTTCCCCCAACTTTCCAACAGGCCCCAGTGTGTGATGTTCCCTTCCCTGTGTCCATGTGATCTCATTGTTCAACTCCCACTTAAGAGTCAGAGCATATGGTGTTTGGTTTTCTGTTCCTGTGTTAGTTTGCTTTGATTTCAAGTTTCATCCATGTCCCTGCAAAGGACATGAACTCAAGAGTGTCACTTTCTGATGGGCCCAGGAAGCACATGCTCTTGGGACCACAGGAAGAGGGGAGTTTACCCAATTCACAGGTATGTGAGGGTACAAACCATGGCTGGGACTGGCTTCAGAAAGTCCTATCCTAATATTCCTTGTGGGACAGTTCCATCAAAGCCAATATCAAAGAAATAATTATTCTTTCTGCACTTTATGCAAATAATTGGGTGAATTATAAGACTAAAGTCTATTTTACAAACAACTCAGTTCTATCATGATTTGTTTTTAACAGAAATGAGGACTGGAGAAAGAGAAATTATGTTTCAAAACTTGTCATACATTTGTAATTACATTCTAGACTCATTAGTTGTTTTTAAGTTTTGCCTGCATTTTAGACTAACCCTGCTTATTCCTGTGAACCAACCAGCAATCTCCAGCCACAGCTAAGAAGGAACAAAAGGGGTGGGTATTGTAAAAATCTGGATCACTATTCTAGTTCTGGGCAATTATCCTGCAACTCCTGGCAGTTAACAGGAATAAATAGGATGCTCATCACCTGGAGGTTTCCTTTTTGGGAAAGCAAAACAAGGGAGCTAACCAAAGCCAAGCCCCATGCACCTAAATCTTAGCAAGCATAACCATAGCCACCAGTTATGTCACCAGACATCCTTTTCTCTTCTTTGTTGGAGGAAAACTCAGTCCTTACAAAGACCGAGTAAAGTATTTTATGACCAAAATTTACCCTTCTCTCTACCTGGGTTCTCTAAAATTTGGCAACTATTTGTGGATATCCATATTTTATGGAAACAGTTATTTCCATAAGTTCAGTGAGGATCTGTTTTGTTTTGTAACAAGACACACTCAGAGACACTAGTTATTTTACCATGGCTTTGACTGGACCAGCATATTTGCAGACATGACCAGACTGAAGAATGGAGGTCAACTTTAGAGCCAACAAAAAGCCTGTTGGAAAGACTGGCTTAGTATCTTGACTAAAATGTTCCTTTGCAAGGTTTCTCACCTGTGGTAAGTAAAGAATGTCACTTTCTAATAGGCTCAGGAACGTCAAGATATTTTGGGAACTTGAAAAGAATTGGTACAGGTATTAAGAGCACAGTCTGACCCAGACCCGGAAGGTGGCACCATAGTGGTGCCTCCACCTGCACCCCTGCCACAGCCTGTCACCCACCTCATCTTTGACATGGATGGACTTCTGGATACTGAACGGCTGTATTCAGTAGTATTTCAATAAATATGTGATCGCTATGACAAGAAATAACAACCGGGATGTAAAGTCCCTGGTTATGGGTAAGAAGGCTTTAGAGACAGCACAGAGTACAATAGACGTCTTGCAGCTTTCAGTGTCCAAAGAGGAGCTGGTGGAAGAAAACCAAACGATGTTGAAGGAAGTGTCCCCCATGGCTGCACTCATGCCAGGGTCTGAGAAGCTCATCATCCATCTGTGGAAACACGGCATTCCCTTTGCCCTGGCCACCAGCTTGGAGTTCTGCATTGTTTGAGGTGAGGACGGGTGGACACAAGGAGTTCTTCAGCTTGTTTTCTTATGTCACGCTCAGAGAGGACCCTGAAGTGCAGCATGGCAAGCCAGATCCCGACATCTTCCTAGCTTGTGTCAAGATGTTCTCTCCCCCTTCTCCTATGGAGAAGTGTCTTGTCTTTGAAGGTGCTCCCAATGGGGTGGAATGGAGGTGGCCTGGGCAGCTGGGATACAGGTGGTCATGGTTCCAGATGGAAACTTTAGCCGAGACCTGATGACAAAGGCCACCCTGGTGCTGAATTCCATGTAGGACTTCCAGCCTGAGCTGTTTGGTTTGCCTCCCTATGAGTAAGAGGGAGGGCCTCGCTATGCCTCCCCACAGCTCACTCTCATGATCCACACTGCTGGGGGAAAGGGAAAGGAAATCAGCAACTCTCAAATCCCAACCTGCACAGTAATTTTAACCTCCTGAGATTGGCATTTCCATCTTGTGTTGGCTTGCCCCACTCTAACATGTTGATAAAATTTGATAAAACGTGACTTGACAGTTGAGAGAAACACAGTAGAGATGGAAACAAAGCCCAGAACAAAGATGAAACTTGAATTACTGTCTCAAAAATCAAACTGATGGAGTAGGTGGTGAAGTAAATGTATATATATACATACACATAAATACCTCCATGTGTACATGTGTATGTCAGTATGTTAATATTCATGTAGGCATTACATGTTTATACATGTAGATATATACATGCATTTGTATGTAAAATATTTACTTTTCTAAGACAAAATGGAACATCATTTCTCTTTTATTCTAGTTTTCTTTGAACACTGGCTGGGAAATGTAAACTGTGTATGCATATAAGTATATACTTTATGTATGCATATGTATGTACATATATTTATATCTATCATTTGCATCACTCTCCTCAGTGTTAATGTCAACATACAATGATAACTGATAAAGCGAGATGGCAGTTCTGTCTGGTTTCCAGTCTGAGTGGGAAAGCCCTGTTTTTGATGAGCACTAAGAAGTCCTTCTCCTTGTTAGCTAACATTCAATTCTTTTTGTGACCTCAGAATGTCTCTGGATCTTTCCTCACTGACTGACTCTAAGCCACATCATCCGTAGTTTTTTGTTAGTGTGAACACAACTGTAACATTTACCTCGTATCTACATCCTTATCTATATTGGAAAATGTTTTCTACCTCAGAACAACCATTTGCCTCCTTTAAGAACACTGATGGCCTACACCTTGTGGACAGAAATTAGAATTTGATTTCAGAATGTGTGCTTGGTGAGTCAGAGTGCCTGGCAACACTTTTGGAATAATTCTGTGATTAATCACTTTTATAGATTTACTCATCTTAAAATATGTCTGTGATTTGCCAGAGAAAAATGGTGGTAGCCATGAAAATCAGGAGTGAGGGAGCTCTACTCCATTGTAGCTCAGCCCTTCCCAGTGGCCTCTGCCCTTGGATGTTCTTGAGCTACTCTTCAACTCTGGAAGTTGTGGACAAACCATAGGGATGCATGTGTGCATGCGGTGGAGTGATTGTGTGTGGATGACAGGCCCCAGCTATTGATAGATGTTGCATCATTTAGCAAATTTATTTCCTCATTCCTGATGGCCTGTATACATGTCTACGCTTTGAATGCTCCTCTTAAACTAGTTGTAATGTCTTACTGTTTCCCTAACAAATTAAATTAGTTTAATAAAATCTTTTGACACATGTTAAAAAAAAAAAGCACAGTCTAATGAGAAATTTTTGGCTTGGCTTCTGGCCCCAAGGTTTTTTAAAAGTTGACTTTAGAGCCGGGCGCGGTGGCTCAAGCCTGTAATCCCAGCACTTTGGGAGGCCGAGGCGGGTGGATCACGAGGTCAAGAGATCGAGACCATCCTGGTCAACGTGGTGAAACCCCGTGTCTACTAAAAATACAAAAACATTAGCTGGGCATGGTGGCGCGTGCCTGTAATGCCAGCTACTCAGGAGGCTGAGGCAGGAGAATTGCCTGAACCCAGGAGGCGGAGGTTGCGGTGAGCCGAGATCGCGCCATTGCACTCCAGCCTGGGTAACAAGAGTGAAACTCCGTCTCAAAAAAAAAAAAAAAAAAAAAAAAAAAAGTTGACTTTAGAATTCCTTATAAAAGTTCTAGCAAAGCCAACTTAAAAGGAGTCCATGTGGATAATCACTATTCTTACTACACTTTATGCAAATAATCAGGCCAAGTATAATGAGACTAACATTTGTTTTTGACTTACATACAAGACACTCCTGGGCAGCAGGAGGATAACTCCAGAAAACCACACTGCCGCCTGTCTCTAAGCTGCTTTTAAGCCAGTTTTCTCATGCTTTGCCAACTGCAGGCAATGAGACTTGTTTGTCTTGATATATTCTCAGATACACTCTGGGATGTTTGAGTTCTCAGGGACACCTGCTTGTCATTTGGGCACTATGGCCTTGGCTTATGGCCTAACCTTCAGGGCTCAAGCAGTGCACATACAGTCTTAAGTAACTGGATGGGGAATCCATTGGCTTACACAAGAATTAACTAGAAACATTCATTCAAGAAATGGGTCTTTTAAATTGTAGAAAATGAATTAACTAGATTTTAATGAAACATTCTTTAGGGAAATGGGTCTTTAAAATTGTGGAAACCTTCAGGTTTATGTATTTGGAGAAAGGTCAAAAGAGAGTAAAAAATCCTCATTGAGTTTCTTCTACATTCAAAAACTTCAATTTGAAATAATACTTTTGTTTATACACAGTAGCCTCAGTTGGAGAGAAATAGTTCTAAAAATAGGTTTTTTAAGAAAAAAAAAGCTTAAACTCATTTTGGTAGTAGGAAGAACCCAAAGTCAGATTCCCTGTATTTCCTGCTTGGCTAATAAGCTATTAAAATAATACTCAAATTCTTAGAGATAAACGAGCCTTCTCTACTGCATCTGTAGTAATTCTTAGATAATTGGATATACTTCAATAACATGTTACCCTTTCAGCTGTTCCTCATTCCTATTATTATTTCTCTGTTTCTATTTGGAATCTTCTTTTTCTGCCTGAGAAACTCTAATATTTGTTTTTGAGCAGATATGAAAGTGATGAATTCTATATTTTGTCTCAAAATATCTTGACTTTGTCTTTATTTTTGAAAGATATTTTCACTGGGTATAGACTTAGAGGTTGGGAGTTATTTTCTTTTAGCCCTTTAAAAACATCATTCTGTTATCTTCTGGCTTTCACTACTTCTGTTCAGAAGTAAGTTCAACTTTAGTTCCTTTAGTGAATTTGTCTTTTTTTCTCTGCCTCCTTCTATAGTTTTCTCTTTGTCTATGTTTTTCAGCATTTTTGCTATGTCTTTTAGGGTGGTTTTCTTTGCACTTACACTGCTTGGGGCTCACAGACTCTTAAATCTGTGGGTCAATATCTTTCATCAGCTTGGGGAAACTATGGGCCATTACCTCTTCAAATTGCTATTCTTTATTTTTTCCCTTTAGAATTTCATGTTTTACATATGAAATTTCACACTTTTACACTGTGTTCAACCTACGTTCGTTTTTGTTTGTTTGTTTGTTTGTTTTTTGAGATGGAGTCTCATTCTGTCACCTAGGCTAGAGTGCAGTGACGCAATCTTGGCTTACTGTAACCTCCACCTCCCAGGTTCAAGCAATTCTTCTGCCTCAGCCTCCCAAATAGCTGGGACTACAAGCATGCACCACCATGCCCAGCTAATTTTTGTATTTTTAGTAGAGGTGGGGTTTCACCATATTGACAAGGGTGGTCTCAAACTCCTGACCTCGTGATCCACCTGGCTCGGCCTCCTGAAGTGCTGGAATTACAGGTGTAAGCCACTGTGCCTGGCCAGTTTTGATTTTTAAAATCATTTCTTCTTTCTCTACTTCTAAATGAATATTTTCTATTAACCTGACTTCTACTTTATTAATTTATTCTGAGTTTATTCTGCTATAATCTACTTATTAAAATCTCTATTTCAGCTATTGCATTGTTTAGTTTTAGAGCTGCAATTAGATTTATTTGATTATAGTTCTATGGTGGAATTTTAAAAATTATTTCATTAATTTTCTTCATCTGTTCCTCTATTTTCTTGAACACGTTTATCTATTTTCAAGTCTTTGTTTTAATAACTCCAATATCTTTATCACCTATAGTTTTCTTTCTTTAACTTTTTTCTCTGTATTTTGTCTATATTCCTGTCTCTTGGCTTGAGAAGTAATGTTTTATTGAATATAACATAATGTGTATGGAAGTTGTAGAGACTTCAGATAATGTTCTTCTTGGGGGGACTCTCGGGTATCTTGGCTATGTCTACTGTCTGACACCTGGTTCTGGGGTAATTAGGGCAGGGGATAGTGCCCAGAGTGATAGGGCCCTGTGTGAGTCTAATAAAGGAGGTTGGGGTGCAGGCTATCATTTGGTTGGTTTGCATATAAAAGGTATGCCCCTGGAAGAGTCATTTGCTATCTCTAGGAGCTAATTAACCCTGGGAGAGGCTGCCCTCCACTGTTAGCAAGGCCCCATGATATATAGGGATCAGAAATAGAGAAGATAAAAAAGCATGATTAATGTAACCATTGGCACTTCTTCTGCTGATCTCTGATCTATGTATGGTCCCAGCTCTGTCATGATCAATCTTAGACAAGGTTCTTATTGGCTGTCAGTCACCTTAATTGTTAAATGAGGTGTAATTACCATTCGACCCTAATATTTGTGAACTCAAATAGTTAATATTGAGTTTATAAATTAATATTTTCTACTTTTAGAATTTAAAGAGAGAGAAAGTAAAATTACTAGTAAGTTCTCTTTACATCTCAAAGACATGACTGAATCATACCCCAAGTAAAAGAATACTTTGTTAAATTAAACTTTAACAAAATAAAATAATATAAAACCTCAGTGTATCATATTTAGTGAAATTAAATAATAAGGCTTTTCAGTGTGTCATGACATTTCTTTCCAACAAAGATATATCTTACTTGAGGTGACTTCTTGATCAGCCTTACTATCTTTTTTATTTCCATCGACACTTTCTTTCCTTTGACTTCTAATTCAGTAGTGATGTGTTTTTCATTTTGAAGCTTCACTAAATCTAAAATGGCAATGAAAAATCATACAGAGACTTTTCAAAAAGTTACGCCTACACTGTTAATTCTTACAGATACCCTTAAAGAGCTATTTAAAAAGCTCAAATTGCATAATTAACACATATTTTCAAACACAATTTGAAACCATCTGCCTAGCAAAAAAAAAAAAAAAAAAAAAAAAAAGCTGAACCTTCCCTAGAAGGTTCATATACACTGTGGAATACTATGCAGCCATAAATAGGAATGAGACCATGTCCTTTGCAGGTTCATGGATGGCCCTCAAAGCCATTATCCTCAGCAAACTAATGCAGGAACAGAAAACCAAACACCACATGTTCTCATTTATAAGTCGGCACTGAACAATGAGCACACGCTAGAGGCCTGTTGAGTGAGCAGAGTGAAGAAGACCATCAGGAAGAATAGCTAATAGATGCTGGACTTAATACCTAGAGGATAGGTTGATAGGTGTAGCAAATTACTATGGTACACGTTTACCTGTGTAATAAACCTGCATGTCCTGCATATGTATCCTGGAGCTTTAAATTAAATCAAAATTTTAAAAAAAGAACTGCTCAAGTCTCATATAAAATGGTATGGTATTTGCCTGTAACCTACATACAGCTTTCTGCAATTAAAATTATTTCTAGGTTATTTATAATACCTAATACAACGTAAATGGTTGTTACACTATTGCTTTTTTTTTTTTTTTTTTTCAATTGTGTTATTTTTTAATGTTCTATCCTCAGTTGCATGAATCCACAGACAGGGAACCTGGGAACACAGTGGGCCAATTGCTTCTGATACATGATGACAACATCACCAAAATCTTGCCAAAGGGATCAAATATGAGTTTGATCAAGTCTCCTGATCCAGCTGCTTTAGCTATGGACAACACAAAGGACAGGAGAACATGTTGAACCACACTGCAAATAGGCAGTCAACGAAATCCATAACTCTACTAATCAAACAGCCTGGGTTCTCCAACACATAAGTTATAAGGAAAATGAATGAGAGGGAGAAAGTAGGCTAAATGAGATATGAAAGACATCACATGTAAATAATCGACAATTCTATAATGTCTATAGATGCACACTTAACAGGTAAAACCAAAAAAAAAAAGATGTGAGGAAATGATAACTATAAAAGTCAAGACAGTAGTTACTTTGAAGAGAAAGGAACGTGGGGAGGAGGGAACTGTGACTGAGATGGAACATGGTGGGGCTTCTAGGTGGCTAGGAAAGCTCTGGTTCTTGACCTGGGTGGTTGTTACAAGGAAGTTTGCTTTATAATAATACACTAAACTATACATTTAATGATTTTTTGGATGTGTTTTAATAGTTCTTTGTGTTTTTGTATTTGTCTTTATAAAAAGACAACTCATAGAAAGTGTTTGCAATATATAACACAAAGCATTAATGTTTATAAATATATAAGAACCTTCTACAAATAATGAAAGATAATTCCATAGAAATTAGCAAAAGCCATTAAAAAACAAATTGTAGAAGAAATGCCAGTACCTTGATCTTGGACTTTTCCGACACTAAAATGTTGAGAAAATAAATTTGTTTGTTATGAATTACCCAGTCTCAGATACAAATGAATTTATTTGTAAAAGAACATGCTTCTTTTTCATTTTCTTTTTTTTTT